TTAGTCCAGAAGTGCGCAGAGATTTGAGATTGAGGTGAGGAGCAAAATAAGCAGTTGAAGTTGGCAGCGATGCTACTAACACGCAAGAATGCCGTGATTGACGAATCAACAGCGGTCTTCCAGGTGTTGATGAAGGTTCGGTCGTCAGTATTTATTGGCCGCATACTTGATTGAACAGATATTCAAAGTACGAGTATTGCGGCCACAATGGAGATTCCCCAATCCTCTCTGGGTTAAATAGATTATGGTTGGAGCCTAGACTTACTGCGGCCATCCGAGAAACCCTTAGGCGACTTGTAAAGCAGATCATTTTATGAACTGAACAGGCAGGAGTTGCTCGGGTTGAAGAACTGAAAGACATTTGAGAAGAACACCTGAACCTGGTTGAAGTTCAACGGCGCGGGCGGCCTTGAGATGACGGCGACTAGAGGTGGACGATGGCATTGGGAAGGCAGCTGATCAAAATCAAAATTGCACACGTGTCAACAGATTACCCAGTTTGGGTGTTGCGCTCTGATGCGCAACTTCAAGCCATCGAAGGCCCGACACCCGACAAAGGTAATGTGCAGGGGTACTCCACCATCAGGAACAATGACATCCACATGGGTCTCATTGCTGCCAAGGGCGGCATGAGGGTGGGTTTGTGCCTCGACAAAGGCGATGGGAGGGGAAATACATCGACAAAGCCGGCGCAACAAAGACATTGCACACGAGGCGCGGAGCGGGAGCAGTGGGAGGTTAAATTGCTGCCCAACGGCCCACTCTGTGACATCCGTCGCGTGAGTGGGCGGCCACTGTGTGACACCCGCAGCGCGAGTGCATCAAAGCTAACAATTATTTGCCTCGGCATGTGGCCGCGAGTCTGCCGAAACCACATCACGAAAGGCCCATATTTACTTGAACTCAAGGCTGAAAATTATTTAAAACTAAGGCTTAACTTCCTGCCAACTAGGTACATTGTAACCGGTATTTAGTTGATTAATGAGATGAACGAAACAAAGACCTTTGTGGGGTGTCACACCCATCTGCGGCGCATGTGCGCCGGCCGTGCGTTTAAGGCACATGAGGATCATGTGCCTAGATCTTTGCCCCCGGTGGGAACTTAGGGCGCGGGCTGTTTTTTTTTTTTTACACTTTTCAACGAGAATTATTATTGCGAGCTCAGTTCTTGTCCGTTTGCCTTGAGAATATGCTCATTGTGTCCGCAATGAAAATGCGGAGGGCATCACGGTCTTCGTTTTCCCTGATGCGATCATAATTGCCATATTGGGAAAATGTCGCTCTTTTTGTACAGAACTTGTTGCGTCCTCTGTGCTGTGGTCAGATTGACCTATAAATTTGATATGATGTCTTTATGAGTATTCCAATGGGCTGGACGGACCGGTATTTCCTCATATTGTATTTATTTCTTGTATACAAGGTATTCAGATATCCCACATTATGAGAATGCAGAATACCGGTGAACTAAGACACACATTCAAAATCCCGGTCCGCCCAGCCCTCAATGATACTCATAAAGGCATCATATCAAATTTATAAGTCAATCTGACCACAGCACAGAGGACGCGACAAGTTCTGTACAAAAAGAGCGACATTTCCCCAATAAGGCAATTATAATCGCATCAGGGAAAACGAAGACCGTGATGCCCTCCGCATTTGCATTGCGGACACAATGAGCATATTCTCAAGGCAAACGGACAAGAACTGAGCTCGCAATAATGATTCTCGTTGAAAAGTGTAAAATAAAATAAAAAAACAGCCCGCGCCCTAAGTTCCGCAAATGGCTGTAAGGGTTAAGCCAAATGTAAATTTTTACTCAATCTTACTGCTCTCTCTGGGTAACAGGAACAGGTTGAAACCATCAGGAACGTGTCGCCTGACTTTGATTGACGGTGAAATATCCCTAGAGTCGGCCATCATCGGCCGCACCGAAGCTTGGCTAGCGTCGGGTTTGGAATCCCGCAAAAAAATGAGTCCGGACTTTTGTGGTTCAGATGGTGTATTTGAGTAAGAAATCACTACCTATCTCGACGGCACGGCGCGGGGAGTCTTCGTTAAAGAGTTTAAGGGCGCGCGCCGGTGCCGCGTCAATTTACCCGTTAAGCCGCATCACTGCCGCGCCGGTCCGCGTCAGTGCCGCGTCACTTTTACCATACCCGTAACTTTGCTTCAAAGCTGCGACACCCTGCACCCACCAGTCCCTCGCACGGTCAACTATCGCCGTACTTGCCCACCCTTCACGCGCATTGCGCAGTCGCGCCGCAGCTCAATTCCCCACCCAGCTGGGACAAGCAACAGTTTTCGCTTTCTATTGGTCTCCGCTGGTGTATAGCTTCTTGAGATCTCAAGCCGCCGTGTCGCCTCAACTTGGTCCAAGGAATAAAACCCGCAAGACGAGGTTCGACTCCCCGCGCCCGATCGCGAATGCCCCCGAAGGTTAGCTATGTTTTCCTCCCATTATTCTTGAGTGGCTTCAAACTTAATCCTTCCATCTTTTCACATTCAGTCAGCATCGGCTTCAATGACCAGAATCTATTTACAAATGAATTTCAACCGTGGGAATATTCGATCAATTTTTCGCAATGCTGCACTTGTTTCGTCTGGGTCTCAAATTGATTTCAACGCTGCTCTGCTGTGAATTAGCAACGTCCAGCGCCGTCCGAATGCACTCACATCGAAGGATCCACGGGTCAACCACCGACGTTAACCCAACTCACTCATAATCGGGTGTGGTGTACGGGATACGGCGAACTTTCGTTATGTAGGATGCCCCGGTGAAGATAACACACGTCGCTGAACGGGGTTTGATTCCCCGCGCCCGAATGTTGAAGCTGTGGACAGGTATCTTTTTCCAACGCATTCAACCGTCATCCGCTGTGTAACAAAATTCGCCCCCCGACGGGTTAATGACTTTTTCTCGCAATCCTATAACACTCTTGAGAAAATCAGGGTCTTGAGTCCAAGTGGTCTACAGCATGACACCAACGTTTGATCAAGAGGCTCAACGCATTACGAACCTCAACTCACCAACAGCGTTCATACTTATTTTACCCGAGTGTGGTGTACGCTGCACGGCGAGCTCGCCTATGAGAGCAAAGAGTATGGATGAAATACAACTCGCTCAACGGGGTTCGAATCCCTTCCCCGCTTGAATATTAACGCTGGCCACGCTGCACACATCCTTTTCCACCCTATTGAACCAACCGACTTCTGAGTCTGTTGGTTCACCCCCAAGGTGCTGACACTGCTAACCATCCGGTGCATATCAAAATTCCCCAACCAACGAACTCATAATTCTTTTGAGATTTAACGACAGAAAATCCGGTCTTGGGTCGGAATAGAGTCCAGTCCCTGTTTATATCAGAACTCTAGTGAATCAACCCGCCCAGCTTCGCGTCTACAAAAGCGATCTGTTTCAACTGCGAGGATTGCTCGAAAAGCGGTCTCGCCTCCCGCAATAAATCTATGGCGCGCCCGTTTTGGGTCTCCCGCCTTTCCAAGACTCCAGATATGCGAACCATGGAGCCAGCTGCCCATGCGTGCACACCCATGGAGGTGAAACCCTTCAACGCGACCTCGAAAAGTTGCAGCGCAGTTCCTTCGTCGTCGAGGGCAGCTAAAACATCGCCCAAGGACCGAATCGCCTTCATCATCGCCAATCTGCTCTTAGCCTTTTTTGCCGATGCGAGGTAAACTGTCGCCCAGTGTAACGTCTCTTGGACGCTGTGCATACCGTTCCCATGATCGGCCAGTCGCTCCAGGCAAATGCTTGCTGCCTCGTCCCACTTTCCGTTGAATGCTTGGAATGTTACGGTAAAAAGCAGTCCAGGATCGGCCGGGTTTCCGTCTCGAAGGAGTAGATCGCCGTCTGCAATGTCGCAGAGATGATCGCCCAGTGCGAAGTTTAAGGTTGAAAAGTGGGCCTTCGCCATGCTGACGTTCGCACGGATAGTATCCGATGCAGCGTCGGTTGCGACATCGATTAGCGCCAGGTTCAGACGCGCGAATGCGTCTCGCCACTTGTATTGTGGGTCTGCGGTCAGAAGAGATGTCTCAGCGGCTCGAGCATCCGAATATTCAGTCTTTTGCATATGGATCTCGGCCTGGAGAAGTTGGGCGTCGAGGTCAGCTATGCTGCCCTCCAGCCCACATGCCTTCACCAATGCCCTGGCTTCCGCACACAACCTCGCCGCCTCGCAAAAGTCGCCCATGCAGGAACAGTGATCGGCTTGCGTACTGAGTGCCTGGGATTCGATGTATATGTCCCCAAGGCTATTCGCGCACTGGCTTGCTCTCTTTGTGTAGGATATTCCACCCTCGTAGTCTCCAGCAAGTCGCATGATTTTAGCGAGACCCAGTAGCGCCCAGAATTGGGCATGAGTTGGTCCATTCGATGTCGAAGCGAGCGACAGCGCAGATTCGCAATACTGCTTGGATTTGGCATTGTCGCCTCGAGCGAAATAACAGCTACCGAGAGTGTGGTGCCATCGGGCTACGCAACAACGATCAGTTGCGTTTCAGGGTGATAATTAGTACGTACGTACCCCTTTCCAGGTCCCCAGACGCTTCGAAGAAACTGTGGCCTGATTGAATGAGGTCCGCCACCTCGTCCCCTGCATGTCCGGCGGAGTGGATATTTTCGAGAATATATGCGCCAAAGACCGGATCGTTCTGCCAATGTACGATTTTGTGTGAAACAGGAATCGCAACTGCCGATCCCGCCTGCCGACAGAAGCTATTGAAGAGCAGAACACTCCGGAGACTGGCGAGCGTATCTGGGTAATCCATCTGCATCGCGTCCGAAAGGAGGCGCCTGAGGTTTCCGAGGTTGGCCGGTATCTGGGGAATGGAGTTGGGTGAACCGTTATGTTGGGAACCATCCCATAGCTGCAATATGGTACGGAAGTACTCGCGCGCGGCGAGTTTGACTTCAGAGCATGGAGGATGGATGCTGTAGACATATTCACGAATGGGTACCAGCATGGTAACCAACAATAAATGCTCACATGGCGTAGTGGTTAACGCGCTGGCACTGGCTGTATAATTCCTTCGGCGGCAGTCGCGTGTTCGAGTCCCTCTGTTGACCTAATCGGGAGGGATTTTTGTCATTTTACTTCAGGTACGACCATCTTTACTTTTCTTCACCTCAAAGCACTGGATCTTACTTGAGGAAGCCTTGTATGTGCCAGAATCCATTTATTTCAAGTTACAAAAGGTAACTAAAGTAGGACGGTCCAAACAAAGGAAGGAATAATAAAACGAAGAAAGAACCGTAAATAAAGAGGCCGTGGACGACACACGGGGCGCCTAGGAGCCTAGAGACCCGAGGTGTGCATCAGGGCGGGGTACCCTGAGGTGGAGAAAGCGTCGTTGGGGTGAATTGAGGCGGGCGCAAGCCGGGGAGCGCACCGGGCACTAAATGGCCCGTAGCGCGCGTGCAAGGGCAGCGGGAGCCTAGAAAATTTGGCTGCGTGTTGGGGCAAGGTCTCCCAACGGCAGGGTATTGTCGCTGGGGTGAAACAAGGGGCGGAAGGGTGGGTGCAATCAGGGGAGCGCACCGGGCGCCAAACCGACCGTGGCGCACGCGCAGGTCCAGTAGGAGCTTGGAGACCTGAGGTGCACACGGGGGCAAGGCACCTCGAGGTGGTGGAAGTGTTTCTGGGGTGGATTCGGGCGCTGTGAGCTATCACTTTGTGATACGCTCCCTCCATGGCTGAAAAAGGCAAATACGCACTACGGAGCATGCACAGAAAAAGGAAGGAATGTTGCAAAAACAACCTGACCTCGAATCGAACGAGGGACTCGCATTTTAATATTGTGAGGAAAAGTCGACTGTGAATGCGCGCATTACCATTACGTCACCAGGTCTACACTACAAGACGTCAAAGAAAAGGTGTCGACCCACAGTTGATTCTCTCCCGTGGGAAAAAGTGTACACGACCTGACCTCGAATCGAACGAGGGTCTCGCATTCCAATATTAAGAGGAAAACACAGTAAAGGCGCGTGTTACCAGTTACGCCACCAGGCCTACCACTGCAAAAATCCCCAAATCGCCACGGTCCTCACGAAAATTAACAAATCGACATGATGCATACGCAGAACACGGAACGGTAAACATCGCCAACACGGGGTACTGCACGGAGTACGGAAAGTGTCGCCACGCGGTACATATCAAAGCTACGGAGTACGGAAATTGGGTGCACGGGCAGCAACGTTACAGTCCGTGAGTTAGGTATCTCCTTCAAGCGCACGGGAAAGCATGGAGATCCCCGCTGCGAGGCAAGGAGGGCAGTGTTGGAAGGGGTCCGTGGACGAATGAGGAATAAGGTCGCGCGCGGCGGTCGGAAAGAAATTAGTATAAAAGCAGGGACGTCCGTAGAAGAATGCATCTTATTACCTCCCACTGCTCATACCTAAGCTACTCCCCCTCGATCATACGGGGTGAGAATCTAGTCAAATACATACTCGCTCAGGTTGCGCCGCCCTCCGTGGGACCAACCAAGGTCAAATTGGACCGAAGCTTCAATCAAGGAGGCTTGTCCGTAGTACTTCCGGCTTAATAGAACGAGCCAGAAGGAATTGTAGAAAACATCGGCGTTGATAGCTCGCGTGGTTGTAGAATGTGCGGCGAAACTTCCAAACGGCCAGCAGCCCAACTTAGCAGCGTGTAACCGTTGGCTTGGGCCTCGAACGCAGATCCGTGCGCGGAGTACCACCCCCATCGTTGCGGAAGGCTTATCCAATTCAATTATAACCACTCCACGATTCATTCTCACCACTTTGCCACACACCCACCCACGGAATTGACACTCCTTGGCCGTACCACCACAGCGTAGAGAAAAAGCCGGGTTACGAAGGACTACGCTATAACCTGTACGCGTTGTGTTCAACAGTTCTGAAGATACTGCTTGCCCAACCTATACGAGGCAAGGAGATAAGAAAAGGAACCATATAGCCCAGGCATCTCGACACGGAACGGTGTTCATCTTGCGGAGCGTTGCCCTTCGCGCAAGTGTAGAAAACCCTCCGATCGAAGCTTTCCTGGAAGGCTAGCCCCCCAACGAGGAAATAAATCCTCGAGGAACCTAGCGAGACTGTTCATTCCATACGGAAGGAACTGTACCACCACCACCACCATTTTAAAATACATAACATTGCGTGTACTACAGTAGCAGACGAATCTCCGCGACAGAGAAAATTTCCCTCTAGAGGACGAACTAATTTCGTGCTTTTGCCTGACTATACCACACCTGGTCAGACAACTCACGGAACCGCAGTCTGTATCACAGCGCGGAACGGCCGGTGCAAGTGGGGGGAGCGCACCGGGCGCTGAACCGGTCGTGGACGACGCCCAGGGCCAGCACGGGCCTAGCTGCTCGAGGTGCGTATCAGGGCAAGGTCCCCAAACGACAGGGTGTCGTCGCTGGGGTGATCCGAGGGGCGGAAGGGCGGGCACAAGCGGGGGAGCGCACTGGGCGCTAAACCGGCCGTGGCGCACGCGCAGGGCCAGTAGGAGCTTGGAGACCTGAGGTGCACACAGGTGCAAAGCATCTCGAGGTGGTGGAAGTGGTTCTGGGGTGAATTCGGGCGCGGAACGGCCGGTGCCAGCGGGGGGAGCGCACCGGGCGCTGAACCGGTCGTGGACGACGACCAGGGCCAGTACGGGCCTAGCTGCTCAAGGTGCGTATCAGGGCAAGCTCCCAAAACGACAGGGTTCATTCATTCATTCATAATTCCATTTGAGTGCGGGCGGGCCCCTTGGGGCCCATGTGGCACTATACGTGATACATGTAGGTATACTAGCTATCGTTAGGGGTAACAGTGGGATGGGATGGAACGCCAGGTGGGGGAGGTGACAAAGAGTAAGTCGCTGTGAGGGTGGTGTGTATGGTATGTATCTAATCAGGTGTTTATATGCAAGGTCAAAGAGAGAGAGAGAGAGGAAGTTGGTCGCCTCTTTGGGCGAGAGAGAGAGAGAGATTAAGAGAAAAAGGTAAAGTAAAGTAGAGGGGAGAGGGATGAGGAGGATACGTAGCGTGTCATTAGAGGGCGTAGCGAGGGAAACACCCCGTGTCGCGCACGAAGCAGAGGACGGGTTTGGAGTCGGACTTTGCCGACAGCAGCCGGCGGAGGGAGAGGCGCGCCATGCCAAGGTCGACGACGAGCCTGAGGCGCTGGGGGCGGAAAAGGGGGCACGTGAGGAGGAAATGCGAGACGGTGAAACGGGCAAGATGCGCTAACAGTGAAAATGGGCTAACTAAGCTCTGAATGCGGGCTAGCTGAACACTAACACACCACACACAAAACCTAACACAACACCAAATCCCCTACTTATACTTCACTAAGACTAAGCGCGTCTTCCTCAGTGAGTTCGGGTCCGAGCCGTAGTATGCGACTACTGGTTTGGATTCCTAGCACAACGAGAATTGAATTATGGCCTCAACTATCCCAACTAAACAAACACCGCACTCTCGGCTAGCTACCCTTGACGTTCTGAAACAAGACTTCCCAAGGTTGGGATGTACAGGTTTGGGGGTGATAAGGATGTTTACTAGGCGGACGTACAAAAGTACAGTCGTCCTAGGCGAGGTAAATGAAGTGTCTATCTGAAAACTCCCACTAATGGGCTATGCTGCTTCTCCTGCACTTCCTCTATGGCTTGGCTAGCTGAATGCTGCTAACGGCCGACTTAGACTCCTCTGAATCCAAGCTCTTTTCTGTTACACTTGGGCTTATTAAGGACCCGGAGTATTCTCTTAGCTCAACTAGTCGGTCAATGAATCGACTGGCAGTTCTACCAAAGTGCTGTGCCGGGCGTGGTCCGTTTTACGGGAGGCGTTTCCTGGTCACCCAATGCGTAGCTACCACTGAAGTCCACCACAAAGCTAGCCGCAACTCTCAAACTTAAACTCTCGTGCTCTCGGTCCTGATTTATACGTGGAGAGTGGCGCCGCTCACAACCTCCCAACGCGAAGCTTCGACTTATTGGTTCACACAGTTACTTCTGGATCCAACAAACAACGCTGCGATTTCTATAGACTGGTTTACAACAGAGAAGGTACTTTATCTCCGCTTCGACTGGCCTGAGCACACCCTTATCGACTGAGCGATGAGCGGGGCATGAACTGGCTTTTAGCGGTGTTTTCTGGGTCCTTATATACTACTCAGAAGTCCATGACATAAACTCTATCTACTAATCATGCCGGGGTGATTCCTCATCCACCTGTCAACTGCCATGACGATCTTGGCCATTTATCCGAAGTCCGGGTCCAATTCCGGGTCCAATATGACCCTAGAACGGTCCAGAACGATGCTAGGCCCTCGCTAGGCCTTGGCTAGGCTAGGCCCATGACATCAGACTCTCTGAAATGACTCCACCCCGGAGCCTAGAGTGCATAACTCCGAAAATACTCGGAGCCTTAGCCCTTAGCTCCGAAATGACTCCACCTGCTCACATGTTGGATTGTCCACTTCGACTTCCTCAACATCCTATCATTGCCATCCCAGGAACTGATCAGAGTTGAGCTAGCTCGCATTTATGGTACGCTAGCCACGCTAGCCTCGTAAACCAAGCATGCTAGTACAGCTAGTTGACTTCAATGATCATTCTCTACGCCTCGTATCGCTCTGTGACCTTGCTAGTGCAATTGCTAAAGCACTAGCACCATCCAACACATCTCTATTCGAATCCAAGTGCTAGGACTCGCTCTGAATAATACCTGAGGCTCAAGGCACTCAAAGGTAATAGCTCTACTGTCAATTGTGATAGCTAGCTCGATAAACGAGGTGCTAGTACGCATGATCCTGTCTCTTGGCTTGCTAGTCCACTTGTTAAGTCCCTTGGGACTTATTCTGTGCAGTCATTGGTTCTCCTAGTCGGATTACAATCCTTGTTGAATGCCTAGGCCTTTGGTACATCTCCTTGATAGTGTACCTGTCCAGTGTAACACTTGTAACCGCGCCTAGCACTGTGCAGAATACTACAGCCAGCAGTCGGAGCTCACTCTGACTCTCCTTTATATCACCGAACAGAGGTCTGGTGCACTAGTCAATAATGCAGCCAGAAGCTAGTTTATAGCCTGAGT